TCACACTCTCGACTGGTTTCCACATCCATTCCACTCTGCCGGGAGTGTTGATCCAAGGCTGCGGTTTAATCAGTTACAGTGATTTCATTACATCGCTGCCACCGTATCTGTGCTACTCAAGGCGGTGTTCTACACTCTGCCTCAAGTCTTTGATAGTTAGCCTTAATGCGCCAGTTCCTAAACCTAACTTGACATTGCAGATTCCCTTTTCGCTGTGAGGCATGTTCACCGAGTAAATCTCGTGTTCAAGCCTTTACTTTATGGATCACGTATATGAGCAAACTGATTTACTAATAGCCAACTAGAAATGGACACTGCCGTTTCTCTCGCTCTTCTATGACATTCTATCGCGTGCCAACCCTTAAATGTGATGGTTCTACTCTTTTTGAATAGGCTCACTGTAGACGTCCTCTCTTGATTTCTGATTGCTTCTCTCTGGTCGCCTTGGAATTTATTTTCCTAAATTTAAAAGTACTAACTTTTTCCAGTCATCTTCTTTTTGCTGATATTCCTGTTCTCTTATCTTCTCGAATTTGTTTTGGCAGTATGCAAAGTTTTCGCTAATCCTGCCTTCTTCAAGTCTTCTGTTTCTTAGGTTGTTTCAGTCAGGATATCAATGGCTTCTCGTTTCTTATGTTTTCTTGTATTTCCACCGTATGCAGCCTGTCTTACTGTTGATTTCCCCTTGATTTTGTGTCCCGTTCGTGCGATGTCTTCCGCTGTTTCGGATCTTTCAGTGTCCATGTTTGTGCAGAGTCTTTGGTGTTCCTTGATTCGTATGCTAATTTTTCTTCATGTTTCACCAATATACTTCTGCTCAAAGTTGCCGCGTTTGGTGCTGTAGACTCCCAAGCAATCCAGTTTGCCAACCTTCTCGTATTGCGTCGGCAGGCTTGTGAAGAGTGTTGCCTTTTCTTTTGTTATCACCTAAATATTCCATTTTATTAACAACGGTCGCAAATTCTGGCTCAGTTCCGATTTCTGATCTTATTTTCATAAAATCCTAATTGAAATCTGTTTTTTATAACCTATAAATTTCTTTCTATAGATTTTCTGGGGTGTCCGTTACTAAGGCGAATCCGAGTCAGTTTCTTCAACTCCTCGTTCCACAACTCAGTGTCCGTTAATTTTATTATTTCGATCTTCAGTCTGTAATTGTAATGAGACTGAAAATTGAGTATTATTTCCGCATATGATTTCTTTCTGAATTGTCTGTTTTTGAATATTCCGTTGGAGCGAATGACCTCAATATCCAGGATGGGTAGTCGTTTATCCTCCTCCACCTCCATTGTGAATTTAATTCTTCCACCAAGTTGGTTTATAAAATTGAGCCTTACCATTCGACCAAAGTGCAAAGTAGTCATCCAGGTATCGCATAAGCATCCTTGGTTGCAGTGGTAACTTTTTGCATTCTCTTTCCAACTTGTCCATGTACACATTTGTCAAAAGAGGTGAGAGTGGAGATCCCATCGGTAGTCCAAATCTTTGCGCTGCTTCCAGGACATCCTCCTCTCGATCCAAGATCTCCAGCAGGGCGCTGACTGCCTTCTTGCCTGAAATGTTTGTGTACTTGGATTATACGTCAAAACTTACCAGCATTTCCATCATTGCCACTCCAATATTGATACGAATTCTTAAAGGTATTTGAGAGTCTGTCATTTACTTTCTTGAGCTTTATGCGAATGAACTTCGCTAGTTTGTGTATTGCTCCACGCTTTTTGTTGACTCTTAATCTTATCGGATTTCCTTCCTTGTGTATCTTCGGTTGTACGTAGGCTGTCGGTGGTCTTGCGTCATTTTTTATTAAAGATTTCATCATCAATCTGTCAATTCCCTCATTATGCATTTCCTTTAGCATATTCTTCAGTGTCCCGTTGATCTTCATTTTTGTTTACTTTCTTACTATTTGATAGGTGTTCCGGTCGCCTAGGGTTCTTCCCATTTTCTCCGTGTACTGTTTCCCGTCAATTATCACCGTCGCACCTTCCTTATCTGCCTGAAGAACTATGCGGTCATTCATTTGTAATTTTCTACGTATCTTCATCAATCTGCTCTTTTTCATTGGCTCTTGATGGAACA